CATTAAGACACCTCAGTCCCAGAATTATTCTGCCCCATCAACATCCACTTTACCCTCCACGGCTTCAACACAGTGCGTCAGAGAAGGGTCAGAGTTGTCAAAGAAGGTTCTTGATCAGTGATCCCACTATCTGTTTTAGTCCCAATGGGATGTGCAGATTATCTCAATTTAGTGGAGGAATCTGTAGAAGCAAGAAAGGTGTTAGACAGATTAGTCAATCAAGTGACTGCACATGCTGAAAATGTTAAAGGGAACTGACTGCCAAACACCACATCACAAACCGAAGTCTTTGCTACATCTGGACCTTACCACCAGCCAGGACATTTCCCAAAATTAAACTCATGCTCTCTACAGGCAGTCTCGAATGTACTCCCACTTTTACAGGACCTGAAACTAAATCAGATGTCAGAAACACAGTATGAAGAGGAACTTTTACACTGCTAAACTCAGTTCCATGGATGAGTATGTGGGTTCCTTTATGCATTTCACTTAAAAAGGGTAATGCACTTTCAAGTATAAATGACTGAGCTGCACCGGTGTCTCTCAAAACAGAGATCAACTTAACAGTCGGATCAGGAGAAATTGACACATTACCCTTAAATACAAAGGGAGTAAATGCAGAGTTTTGAAGTTGTTGTAGTTGTCTTAGATGTAGCGCACCACTTTTCCAACAGACCTCTCTTGTCACATGCAAATTCCACAAAAGTTTGTTTAGCCAAATTAGTATAGTTGCGGAACTTCTGTCTGTATGCTTCAGGTGCAAGCTTTTAAACCCATAAGACAGCAGCTTTAACTAAATTATATTTTAATAGATTCTTCAATGAGCAAAGCAGAGCATATTGTAATGCACCTTACCTACTAAACTATATATCCTTATCCTTATATATCCATATCCTTTGGCCAGTTCAGTTTGGCAGCAATTCACTCAAATACAATGAAATAAGCATCATCTTTTGACTCTCGAAACAGAGGCACAAGTTTAATGTTCTTGCTTGGATCAAATGGAATAACAGCAGCAGGCATATGAGTTACTTTCTCTGCAGTCTGATTAGGTTAGGCAAATCTTCATGCACAGGAGTTACAACAGGTAGAACAGAAGTTTTCACACATTCTCTTTCTTTTTCTTTATGCACTATTTCTAGCTCACATAGATGTAACATACGATTTTCATGCTCTTGTTGTTTCATTTGTAACTCTAGCTCTTTCAACTTAAACTATATGTTGGATATGACTTGGATGATGCTAAATCAGTTGCTCCAGACAGCTCTAAAACAGTCTTTTACATTTTGCTATCTAAATCACTTTAGAAAAGAGACGTAGACAACAGACCTTGCTCGACAAGTTTACATTTAGTAATTTTGCAGATGCTTTTATTCAAAACGACTTACAATTAGGAAATACATAAAGCGATTCTTCTTAAAGAGGCAAACAGACACAGGAAGTGCTCGTAATACCAAGTTTCAGGCATTTGTTCAAATAAGTACAAGCTAGAAGACTTCTGGAGGGGATGTAGATTCGTAATAGTGAGTGGAAGTAGCTGGGTGCTGAGCCTGTGGCTCTTCTATATGCAAGCATCAGCCACCCTGAAAGACCTACCAGTGAGATAGGATTCAAACCAGCGAAGTGGAATCCCTGTGATGCCCAGTGATGAGAGGGCGGACAGGAGGATCTGATGATTGACAGTGTCAAAAGCTGCAGATAGATCCAGCAGAACAAGAACTGATGATTTGGAATCAGCTTTGCAATCCCCACGGTTTCCGTGACTGACAGTGGCGCAGTCTCAGTTGAATGGCCACTAGTGTTGCTTTCGTCAACGAAAATTATGACTAAATATCGTCGTCAACGAATCTTTATTACGTGACGAAAACGAGACGAGACGCAAATGCTGGTCATGTGACGATGACTA